CTACAAAATAGTTTGGAAAATAAAACTGGTCCAAGGACTAGATTCTTCCCAACCCATTGTCTAATAACATCAGGTGGTGGGCTTCAGTAATGGGAAGGACCCCCCCCCCCAAAGCCTTCTGCTAAATCTAAGTCCCATCTTTTCTGTACAGAGAAGAATACAGAATAAGAAAAATTTGATTGCCTTTGTGAATGAAGCAATACTAACCAGCAACACTTATAATCCACTTCCAGGTTCAGTTTCAGTTTGTACTCCTCACAGACACCCTATACTCACCTCTGCCTCCAGACCTGCTTCCTCCAGATGCTGCCAAAGACCGTGAGAAACGTCCTTTCCCAAAGACCATTGTGGCAGTAGAGGTGCAGGACCAGAAGAATGGAGCAACCCATTACTGGACTCTGGAGAAGCTAAGGTAGGTGTAAGCTTTTAAAGCCAAGATGGCTACTAGCTGGCTAAAGGAGGTAATTTTTAATCATGTAGGAAAAAATGGCATGAGATTATTACCTGGCAGCAATAAGAGTTCCTAAGTCAAAGGAACGTGAGTTAAATTGCCATACTAATCCTCTGACTGCCTGTTAAAATGGCCAGTTCAGTGGACTGTGATTTGGACAAGAGGGTTCAGCTTAGTAATGAGAATTATGTTTTATAGATATGTGAGCCTGCAGAATCACCCAAACAGTCTTTGGTTCAAGATGGCCATATTATTATTATGCTATTTGAACTGTTGTGGAGATCTCATATGCTCCTTTTTACTTATGCCAAAGACAAGTTGAACTTGACATGGCATTGATCAATCCAGATCTTCACAAGTTCATCACATGAGCTGAAATCTGATTTCTATGCATGCCAAAATAATTATGTATTCACTGGTTTGGAAACAATGATTGATTGTCCTCACTATAATTTCCTCTGCTTATGGACATTTTATTTTTAAGCATACCAAAGCAGTGATATATTTATTATATTTATTTATTTGTCCAATTTATATAGCCACCCATCTCACAAAGCCAATGACTCTGGGCGGCCTACAACAGAACTAAAACAATTAATAAATACCTAAAACTATTATCATTATTAATTATTAAAAAGCATTAAAAACTATAAAAACAGAGCTAATACAAAACAAAAACAAAAATGGGGAGATGTTAATAATAATGGAGTCACCTCACTAGTCTACCCATCCCCTGAGGTCCCCACTGCCTGCTGTCATAACCAGGTCTTGAGGGACCTTTGGAAGCTCAGAAGTTATGAGGCCAACCCCACTTGTCAGGTGGATAGTGATGTTTTCAGTGGCTACAGTCCTCAAATCTCCAAAGATAGTCTCTTATTATAAATTCAGATATCCTCAGAGCTTGAGGAGTTTTTTCATTTCTGCATATATAAAAACAGTAATGTGTACATCAAATCTGACAGCAATCTAATTTCCTGCTCCAAATTTACAATAATAGGCCATTCCTGTAAACTCAGGCTCCTGTCAATGCAAGGGAAGCTTTTTTTATGTAAGCACCAGAACAGCCATATGTACCAATTCTGAGAATATTGATATTGGGGTATAGGTCCAACTCTGCAAAAATAGGACCTTTCCCCAGTTTCTTTCCATTGCTTGAAGATGTTTTTATTTACCTGACTTGAGAGCATGCATTTAGTGTCTCAGTGAACAGAACAGGTTTCTACACCAAATTCTTAGTACATGCAAGTAAGATAATGGCAAGCACAGATAAATTGGTTGGGGGATACTTTCTCAGCTACCGTTTTGGCAGAAAATCTATTTTTTCTGCAACTGCAGACAGAGGTTGGACCTGATGCGGGAGATGTATGATCGGGCGGCTGAAGTGCCCTCTAGTGTTATAGAAGACTGTGATAATGTGGTGACAGGCGGAGACCCCTTTTATGATCGCTTTCCTTGGTTCAGGCTGGTTGGCAGGTGAGAGTTTTGATCTTCTTTGTAAAAATAATATAAAGTAAAACCAATGAGGCCCAAAGGAAGAAAATAATCCATAGGTAGGCAAAAGCAATATGACAACCATTTCTCCTTCCACTAAGGAACAATGATTGTGTTATACTTTAGATGACAAATCAAGATGTTCCGATCACATCTCATACTTGATAAGAAATCAGATCTGCATCTTCCATTCCATGCTGGAGTGGATTATCCATCCATTTATTATCAATGCAGAGCCTTTTAAATATGATCTGCACGTATCTACACCACATACACCTTTCACAAAACTATGCCTGATGTCCAAATGCATGATGTCCAGGGTATGTACTCCTTCTCCACATCTTTCTACAGCAAGATGGCTATGGCCTGTACTCTCTGTGATCCAGCATGATGCCCTCTTCAATTCTGTGTAGTTCCGCTCATACGAGCTAAGTTGTAGCCCATCATTAGGACTTCCTGCTTGTTGATCATGACTTCTGAATTGTGAAAACCATCACAATTATATGTGATGGGAATATGACAACCATTTCATAGCTTATTACCATGTAGATCCTCTTGGATAGTTGGAAGTGAGCATGGTGCTCCTAGATGACAACAGTAACAACCCAAAACAAAACAAAAAAATGTAGGGTGAGAGGTAGCTCAGGAACTCTGCTGTAGGATTTTGAACATTTGTGTAGGGGTGTGTGTGATGTATGGAGTGTGATATCGGCCTATATACTGCCTAGTATATATTGTGTGTTCTCATGTGCTTCACATGCAACTATTAGAGAAAAAATGTGATACCATCAGCTGAGAGTTGGTTGGAGTTCAGGTGGAAAGGGTTTAGCTAGAATTTTAACAAAATCAAGAGCATTTAAGATGCAATCCATTCCTTTGGGAGGATTCATAATGGACACGTTCCCCTTACCAAAATCTCAGAAGAATTTTATTTTATAAAGTTACGTGTTTGATGAAATGGAGACCAGGATAGCTTTCATCCCATGTATCAAATCTTCACAGTTTTCAGCTGATGGCATTTGTGGCTCTTTTGTTAGATGTGTTTGATCTGGGAAGTCTTTTTTTTCATCTCTTTCCTTATTAATTCTGCTGCTTGATTTAAAAGAAGAGGCAAAGCAAGCCTAGTCTGTGTGTGTGTGTGTACACGCGTGTGTATGTTTGGAATAGCTGGTGTTAACCTGTCTCCTATCTTGTTGTACTAACCTTAGTTCAGATATCTCTGGCTGCAACAGCTCTCCTATTTTCAACACATGCATGAGCGAGCGCATGGCTGATCTCACCCCCTCCCCCACCTTCTCGAACCCTGACTCCGACATCACCGAGCCTGCTGACGAGCAGCACGTGGGGAAGGAGGAGGAGGAGGAGGACCTGGAGGAAGACATCTTTCCGGAGTACCCGCTGTATGATGGCCAGGATCCATTTTACGACCGCTCCCCCCTGTTCAGTTTAGTAGGAAGGTTGGTGAGGTCTTAGGAGAGCATGCTGGGAAGGAACTAGCTCTTTCGCATAAGAGACCTGCTTTCCCATGTCAAGCACACAGGGGCTGGGAGCCAAAGACACTCCAGAGGAAAGCCCCACCCCACCCCGCTCCAAGTGGATGAGCAGTTGCAAGGAAGACTGTCTACCCAGTGAGATAACACAGGACAGAGGGCAAAGCATCTGTAAATGGGTGTGATATAACCTGCTGGCAACACCAACACTTCTGCAATTGTGCATTTCTGGAGGGTGTCTGTGTATATTCATATCTGCATACGTTGCCATATCCTATGGAACCCACAGTTTTAATCTCACAGTCTCAAAATTGAGGATGATTGAGGATGATTTCCTAGAAACTGCAAGAAGATGCTTTGTTTTTTCTTAATTAAGCTGGTCAATAGTATTTTAAAATGTATATTAATTTATATATGGTAGGATCTCCACAAAAAATTAGTATCATGTATTTAAAATAGTTGTCTATTGATTTGGGGCAAGCAGTAGAGAGGTACTAACAGGTAACTCTGAAATGAAAGATTACTGAGCAGAAAGTGATTAAAGTTCATTTGGAGTTTAGAAACTTAGAATGCGGAAGGAGAATTCTTGCCACATTGCAGTTAGCAGAAAGAGTTCTTAGAAAGCAAACTGGGTCAGTTACTATTTTCAAATATGCACTGAAAAACTTTGTCCTTGCTGCTTTAGGACAATAAAACTGACTTTGCTTATTATAAATCCCCCAATACACCATTCAGCATAGCCATAACAAGCCACAATGATGTCAGAATGATGGCACATACATCATAACATTATCACACAAATGTCACAATTATGTAATAATGCCTAATGCAAGTTTGCAAGTTACATCATTTGTGTGATGATGTCATGATACATGTATCATCATTTATCCCTCTGTACCCCAGCTGTGGACACCCATGGTATCATCATCTTTGCTTGGAAAAACAGAAAATTGCCCTATTCTAGTAATTAATGCATGGTCTGAACCACTGAGGAAGTATAATCCTAGAAATCAGTCTTCAGCAGGATTCAAACATTGGGCCAAGCTATAATGTGCTTTATTTAGCTTTCCTTAAATCATTTCAGCTTATTCAAGAAGCCATGATTAAAACAAATCCTGGTGTAATACAATATGTGAACCTAGCCTTACTCTCTCCAAAACATTGGCTGGGATTTTTGCAATATCCTTATCTATTTGTGCAGCCGAAACAAACCATTTTTGTCTCATTACACAACACCCAAACCCTGCCCTTCATGGGTCTATTGGAATAAGCCTGTAGAATGGTTGATACTAAACTCAGTTGGAATCTTGGATTAATATAAGGTTCTTTCTTTGGTATTCAGAACAAGTGACCAAATCTGAAAAAGGATAGAACTGCTGCAACAGCTGAGTAGAAGAGGAAATTTCAGCCATTGAAAGTCCTTTTTCTGCATAACTATGATCAATATGGGGATGGGGGTGGCCAAACGCATGCATCATGACATTATCAAACAAACAATGTGACTTATGCACTTGGGTCAGATATCATGAAGTCATTAGATAATTATGTCATTTGCATGATGATGTCATGATGCATGTATTTTGATATCATCATGGCTTGTTATAGATGTGGTGGTCTGTAGGAGTTCTGAATGCCTTGCATCTGGCCCTCCTAGTTCAGGCAGGAAATCTTGACTTCTAGTTTCCTCTCTGTGAAGTAGCATTTAGGAAGATGGGAGCAAGTGAGGGAGCAAAGGGGCTTACAAAAGGCAGAGAGGGATATGGGGGAAGAGTCCTGCAGTCTCAGACCGAAAGAGCTGGCTTCTTCCCTTTTTTTTTTTTTTCTCCTCTTGGGGGATTTGAGATTTTAAATCAACAAACAGGCCAAACTACCAAATAGCTCAATGAGGGAATACCCTCTTCCCCCAATCCTGTGAACTGTTCTTGGGGGTCTTTTGAGTCAGACAAAATTGACTCCTCCCATGCAGCAGCTGTGCCGTTCACATTTCTCGTGAAGTGTGCTTTGATTGGATCTTTGTCTTTGATTTTTTTATTTTTCCTTATTTATTTATTTTTAGCTGCTGGCTCTATCTCCAAAGCTTAAGCAAAATTGGGGGGGATGGTTATTTCACTTTTGTCTTCTTTTGAAAGGCTTTTCTTTGGTCTGAGCATGCCATCTTTGCACCTCACCAATCTTGTGGTTAGCGACTCTGTTCCTTTAATGACACACAGCCTCTCTTTTCTGCCTTCCTTTGTTCAACCCTCTACCACCTTCTTCCTCTTCTTCTTCCTCTTCTTCTTCCTCCTGCTCCTCCTCCTCCTTATCTTCTTTCACTTTGAACAGTTGTATAGAAAAGGACATTTCAGCCTTTGAAATGTTTTCTTTGGTTTAATTGTTTCTGGCCTGCTTCACAATGCTACTGTGATAGATGAATATCAAATCATCCCATATCAGAATAGATCCAATATAAAAATAGACATCATGCTGCAGAATGACTGGATGGGTTGATAATTCTTTGTGATCGTTAGTAATGTTCTCTTCTCATGAAAACAGGTGCTGTTCTATTTGCAATAATCCTTCCAAGCACAGGCTTCTGTTGGTTAGTTGAGGCAACTTGATGATACATGTCACAAAATGTAAAATAAAATTGTTAATTTTAATATAAAATTAAACATTTGAATGGGAACTTTTCAGAATAGTAAGGAGTCACCTGAAGATTGGACAATTACCATGGAAATGGGAGGGGAAAATCATACTTCTAGGTCTCATTGATATGTATTAGGTGCGTAAAATTAGATATTTTATAAAACCTAGAGAAAAACATCACCTTACATTAGTTCCTGGTGTAAATATGTGTGTAGTTTTCACAACAATGAAAACAAGTTGAGCAAAATAATTCATACGTTAAACTTAGCTTGAAATGTATTAGTCAAATATCAACAGTTTAGCCACTCCATATCTTGCCAGGAGAGCAGGGTAGCTGTTAGTGCTGAAGCATTGTTTTACCATCAACTGGAAGCAAACTTCCTACGTAACATTTTATATCGGCCCATAATAATTCTAGAATGCCTGTCATATACCACAGATAAGATTTGTATGATGTTTATTAAGGAATGTTTCATCTGGTTCAGGAGAATTTATGGCCAACTTTAATACTGTTGCAGCTACCAGTCATTAATTAGTTGCTTCCTATTCATTCCTAGGAAGTGAATAGTTAAAATAATAAAAAATAATAATATAAAAGGAACCCAAGTTGATATAATTGATTTAAATGATCACAGTCCTGCAACTGTATCCTAGTAATCATGATATAGTACTTCTATATAATGCTTCTTGACTATTTTACAGAATCCTAATTTCTCACCTTTATTCCTTATTCATCCATTAGATGCATTTATACTCCCTGATCTCCATGGCTATATCCAGGATTTAGAATGTGACAAAATTAAACATGGAGAATTTAATAAACTAAGGAAAAAATCTGGGACAGAAGGGATTGAATAAACAATCCATCAGTATGACAAATGCCTGCTTCTGTCTGTGTGATGGCATTATACCAAATGAAAATAGCTGAACAGATTAATCTGGATCTAATACATAGTTTTTCTATTTCCTAATTATTTTAATCAATTTCAAGGAGAGGTCTTCAAAGAGGCATTTTCATACATGAAAGATTGGCCTATAATATTAATTTAAACCCTATTCTAGTTGTAATGTGCATTTGATTCCTTTTTCATGTTCCGTCCTTAGCAATATTCATAGATGGCACATGAATACCTACAAATTTGAATTTTCATATTTTTCTGAAGTCTGGCTTTTCTGGCTTCTCCCTTATGTTTCCGACTAGTGTAAAGTATTCTGCTGCCCCGTGGTTTGTCCTATCTTGCTATGCAATTTGATAGAAAGGCAGCTCTGCTGGAATTCTGTTGGTGGCTATTTGCTCCATAAGGGATAATGCTTAAAATCTATCATGAGTTGCTGAAGTATAATGGTACCAAATTACCCTACATGGACCTTCCACATTAGTATAAAATATCAATCCAATGGAAAAGGTTTAAAAATCGAATCCATCAATATCTGCTCCCAAATGCAAGTCATCAAGGACAGATTTTAAAAAACATAAATAATATGTGTAAACTCACCAGCATATTCTATTTATAACAAGAATATGGAGTCTGGGGTAAACAGTGTTACTGTTACTCACAGATGACACTGAAATCAGCTGCATTTAGGCAGAGTCAGGAGTCTGCTGTTACTGATCTCTCGTTTAAGCAAGGCAATGAAGTTCTTACCTAGTTTCATGATGGAGTGTCAACTAAGCTTCCCATGATAGATATCATGCATTTAATATTTTTACTCCTGGATATATTGCAAGGAATCCAAGTAGTAATGGAACCCTCCATTCTCCACCCATTGATGAGTTGCATGAATCTAGCTTGGAACATATAATTTTCTTTATAGGAATGTTTCTTCCCATTAGTTAGTTACAGATAGTCCCTGGGTTAAGAACACCTGGGTTACAGATGACCCATAGTTAAGAACAGAGCCTATTGTAGCAAAATTTGAGTTAAA